AAACACAGCAGCATGTACAGTATCCAATACAGTAAGCTGAAATGGTTGTATGTTACACTGCTCCTTGTCTCTCTCCATGCCCTCCCTATAGGCACTAGTGTGAATTTCAGGGCCTTGGTTCCCTTAATGGAAAATGGCCTACCTACACTAAGTCGTCCATCAAGGCCTATGTTGCATCTTGCCTTTTGTATTTACAAAGCCAGTGTATCCTGATGTTTCCTCCACAATATGAAAATAGATCTCACTTTAGAATTTTTTTCATGTATGGTTCCTCAAAGGAGAAAGGAGCCAGACCTATATGTCTGGTCATCACAACCTTCAGGAAATGTCTTAAAACCCATGTCATGTAGGAACATCTCAGCTGACTCATCCATCCACTGCCCTTCTCTCTGTCCACATTAACTACACCTTCGTTATGGTGTCTTAGCAACACAAGTTGTTTTTTTTTGCATTTTGCATGTGTCTAATAGGAATCTAGTTCTCATAGTGTTTTAATATCATAGCTTTTCTGATGTTAGGTCTAATAGTGCTTTGTATAGCTTTTGGTCCAGTGCTAACTTGTTCTTGTTACTGGGCATTCACTGGAAGCTCAGCAATTACACCTAAATGGCTCCTTGGTAGCTGCATGCTTATGATGTATTTTGTGCCTCACTTTTGTGCCGATTTGGATAAAATCATTGTATAATCAGAAAAATGTAATCATTTTTAAGTGCTTTACATTAACCGCAACTTCATAATGCATTCATTAATCATTCGTAGAACATGCAGTGCACCTTCATAATGCCTTTATAATGCATTCATTGAACATTCATAAGCAGCATGTATGTATACTTAACATCCTGACATACTGTAACATCTTTAATTTAAATTAAATTAAAAACATTATAGGATTATATGATAGTAATGTTTGTTATAATCATAAAATGATTGATTTTAGACAAACAATGATTTGATAAAATAGGATTAGGAGTTTATTACATATCTTGATTAAGAAATGTTGAGCAGAAGGGATTTTACTATAGAAGGGAGTTTAATATTTTGTTTAGGCATGAATGCTTTCCTTACCGAAAAGGACCAGGAAGAATGTAATTCTCTGTTAATTTATATGTATGCGTGATATTACATTTACATACATTCATTTACCTTTCAAGGAATTTTTTATTTATTAATTTACCTTTCAGAATTCTAATACAATTTACATTATTAATTGAAAGAGAATAAAATATGGTTTAAAATAATATTTAAGCAACTCTGTTTCACAGTTATGTATATTATTATGTATCAATTAGATGATCAATTTGAATTCTGCAGAATGATGGTTTTTTACGGAGCTTCCAGAAATAATTCATTAAACGGTGGCTGGATCTAAATAGGTTGTGAAGGTTAAGGGAGACTTGCATTTGGGGCCCACTCTCCAGACTAAGCTATTTGTTATTATTGGCAAGGTGTTGAGTTACAGATTTAACCTCATGGCTTCAAATGGATTCTGCTGTCTCTGTAAGGAGCTGCAGGTCAGGGAGAGGTTGGGACAGCAGGAGGTTCTTCTCCAGCTACCGACTACGTGATTGGTGTGCAGGTTCTGTTTTCCTGAGTGCCACTGTAAATCAAACAAGACATCTCCAACGGGGACATGTTCCTCTGCCGATCGCTGGATGTTGCCAAGCCATGTGTATTTTTTTTTTCGGAAGTATGCATTATGCTTGTACTTATAGTTACAGTTACAGATTTGTATTGAATATTGATATGGTGAATTAAATGAAATTAGTACTTTAATGCCAGCGGGGACTAGCAACTGTGAATAGTGCCTTGTTGTACTGTTGCTGTTAATCGTTGTGTTTCCTGATTGTGGCGTGTATGTTTGCTGTGTCTTATGTGAACCCTGTCTGAATTCCTCACCGTACGTATGCTTTACAGTCCGGTGTCTAACCTCCTTGTGTTTCCCTGTCATATTCAGTTTGGTGCTTGTTTGAATATCCATGTCTTGTTGAGGACTGTAATAAAAGGGCGTGATTCTCCTCTAAACAATCCTCTCGTCATTTGCCATCGTCACCCACAATGCCTCAGTCTGCTAGTCATTACAGGACTTTTAATGTTAATTAGCAGACACCAGAACTTCTGTGACGGTGTAGGCTAAATATTGTGGTTAATGGTTTCCTCAATGAGCTGAAACCTCTAGATGTGCTTGTGGGGCTTCTGGCTACAAAACCAACTCAAACTGATCTACTCTGAATGAAGAAAAAAATCCTGCAAAGAAAGGGTTCAGATGATGTGCCAAAACAGAGTCAATGGGATACCATGAATGGATGTTACCCAGCCAGAAATGGCCCTAGTGTTTACCTGTTGTTAACCTGTATGTTATGTGATTTCTTTCTATCATCAGTGTCCTTTGTCAAAGACCTGGTTCTACTCAATGGTGACCAGAATCACAGCATATGAGGACTGGAGGACGGGACAGACTGAGCTTATTAGCATACTCAGGATGAGGAGGACAGGCGAATCAAGTCACATTCGAATAACCGCTTTGCTTTTTTAACAAGCAGCAAATAAATGCTAGAGCATTACTTGCAGGGATCCTCTTCCCCCTAACAAACAGCAGACTTCCTTTATAAGAAATTCAATGACTCACAGGTGTAGAGTCTTAGCCTGACCTTGCCTCTCCCCCAAAACATTCACACTCTCTCCATGTTTCACACTCATAATAGAAAAATATTACTTCACTTACCACTGAATGCATTAATTAACTTTAATCATGGAAGACAGGATGCAGTAATGGCCTCCATCAATTTTAATGTTACTTTCTCTTTTGTAGGAGAAAGATGCATTAGTTCAGGTTAAAGATGATATGTGATTATCTTGTGACAAATCAGGTTAGGACTGGTCGCCTGTCGAAAGTCTGAAATCTTTCAGAAGAGTGCATGACACTCTCTGTATTTGAGCCTTTGATCTATTTTGATTATTATTATGAAAATCATACATAACTATAGGCTGTTAACATGGTCACATGGGCAGGCATGACAAAATGCCTCTCTGAAATGGAAGCTCAGTAAATTTAGGGTCTCTTGCCCCGACATCCTGCCCTGTGTGGTGACTCAGTGGGACGTAATTAAACACACCAGTGTTTGTCAGAGCATTACTCTACTGGATGACAAGAAGACAATGGACTGTACCATTTCTAGCCGGGAGCTCCCACAGGGGGTCCAGTGACGCACACACCACCCCAAAATAGCGTGCATTCATTTGGCTGGTGTGATAAACAAACTCTCACTGGCTACAGCAGTGTTGTTGATGCTAAGGCAGAGGAAAGGCCAGTTGCTGGATCCTAAAACTAAATGTGTTCTCCGAAACTGGATGCACTATCCATAGCCTCAACATAGCCTCTCATGGTTCTCAACAGCAAGATCACACGTAATGCACGTGGCTTACTACTGTACTTCTGTAACAGTGGGTGTCAAATACCAACAGCAGTGTCAGTGATTTAGCTTGAAACAACATGCTGCTCCTTGTTTCAGGACCTTCTGTAGAAGCATATTGTTTAGTTAATGGGTGTTTATGGAATTGCATACAGTTTTTAAACAGAAAAATTCTTTAGTTGCATTTTTCTATTTATAAATATCTAATGATTTCTTCAATAACAAAAAGTAATATGAAACTAGTTCATCAAAGTGACACAAAGGCAGTAGAAAATGCCTTAAACAATGTCAAAATATTGCTCTATTTATATATTTTTGATGATGATATCTTTTATTTGCCATTTCAACAAGTACAGATACACAGGATTTTTTTACTTTTTGCATATTCCTTCTTGCTCTCCTATGGAACAGCCATTTATCCAGAGCCCCTGGACCAGTTCAACATTTTCAGGCCCTTGGCTCAATAGTCCAACAGCGATGACTAACTTGTCATCCCAGTCATGGGATTCAGACCAGTAACCTTCCAATCTTGGGTTAAGAGTCCTCATACGCATTCATCATAAAGACAGTTCTTCACTGTTAGGAAAGAAAAAACTTTCGGTAGTTTACTTTAATCAAAGGTACTGTGATATTTCCAATGAAAAGCACGCCAAACCTTTTTATGAGGTTTGTGATAGGTAATAGGCATGTTTTTATTCACAGCAGGTTGCTATTGTACATGACAGAATAAAAGAACTATACTTCACTGTAAATAATAAAGTCCTATATGGCCTGACTTCTCACCAAGACTAGTATCCTGTGCTTATTGGGATAGGAAAGAGGGTTAGGGCAGCCGGCTACTGGATAAGTGGTTATAGAAAACAGATATATGGATAATAAAGTCCTAGGAACAGACAAGCATTGTTGTTTCAAAATGTCACATTAGCATATATTTCAATGTTTTCATATATGCAAATTGCACATAGCCACTAAATTAAAACATAGATATAATTCACATAGTATTGCTGGGATATATTTGCGAAAACAATGTAAACATTTGGACGCAATCTGGAGTAGATATCAGCAACGCTGATATATACTCCAGACCAGGACATATCATATAGCAAATATTGGTGCCGTTTGGATGCTTTGGATAGGAGGTTTAACCACTACTCTCAGCTTGCTACTTCACAACAATACACCATGTACACATACTGTAGAGTTTGACACATAACAGTAAAATCTTTTTCTCTGTATCCCGATTGCTTAAATATTACTGATGAATTGGAGCAACAGTCAAATTCACACATTGATCTAATTTGACTGGAGCAGAGCATTCCCTCTACACACCTTTGAAGGAGCAGGACATCTCTCATCCAGAAAATCTTGCAACCTGCAACCTGACAGGTCCCTGAGGAGCGTAGTCAAAGTACTACAGCCAATTCATCACTCATCCTACTCACTTCTGTTCCACTACTAGAGCCACGAACAAAGGAATTCTGGAAAAATCACTGTAACAAGTCTAAACAACACCAAATGATGCACATTTTTACTTGTTATTCATTACAATATTGTTTCTGAAATCTCAACAAAATGTTCCACAGACAAACATTCATTTCATTATTGTCCATTATTTATTGTTCCAGTTACACCAGTTGATTGTTTAAAAAATGTCTGTTTGTTTGGTACTTTTATGACTATTGTACACATTGCACACAACTCACACAACGTTACCAAACGAGCTTCTGCTGTTTGAAGAAGGTGGTTTCTAGCCACTTGCATGCGTCATGTTTGAATGCTATGTGATGTTAACACTGCCGTTACCATTGTACCTTGAACCAGGAAATTAAAAGACAGACTTCAATATGGATCTAATTATTCATACAAAAAATAGTTTTCAGTCAACTCCAAAACAAAATACAGATAACGGTAGAGTTGACAGTCTTTTGGACTTATTGTAATCCATCCATACATCCATCCATCCATCCATTATTGTAATACCACTTATTGTAATACCATTGTTATTTGATAATGGTCAGATCAGATAAAACATTTTGATGTAATGAGTACCTTAGTCAGAATCCATTGATGGACCAGCCAAACATAACAAAAGTTCAGAGAAAAACAGTCCGACTTACAGCATTATTTCCACAAAACGTCATAACACTCCAGCAGATTGAGGATATCACACATCCAGATGAAAATCAAAGACAGATGGAAATTTTTAAACTACGAAGGTCAAAATGAAATTCTTACGGGTGGTCACTATCCGCATTCATTGGATCGCTGTGCAAAGTCTCCCCTCGGCAGATAGCCCCAGTACTGCAGGTCCATGTTTGTGTGATAAATTTAATTTGCGACTCTCTCCTTCACCCTTCCCAGCAGCGATGTGTTGTGCCTGACTGCACCGCTCCACCAGGGTTTCCGGCACGCCGCTGTGTCACCGGCACGCCGGCGTCCCGCGGCCCAGCTCGTCTCCAGATCTACTGGCTGTTGCACCAAAAAAGAAATAACTCCGTTTGGCCAATCATGATCCCAGAGCAGCTGGATAGTCTGACCCTTGGAGCTTAGTTCCTTTCGTCTTTCTTCGTACTTGAAGGTGCAACAGCCAGAGTGGGTGGTAGCAGAATCATTTCCAGGAGTTTGGTTTGAGGAGGTGGGAAAGGGCAAAACAGCCCAACAGATTGAGTCTCTTTGGTCCACAAGACTGTTCGATATGCCCCTGTGTTGGGGGGGGGCGGGGGCAAATGGCTTCTCCGCTTCCTGTCACGGGTTGTTCTTGTCTGTGCATTCTGCCTCGGTGCTACGGGGGAAGTAGACGGTGGCCTTGTTCTCCTCGCAACGGTCGATGTGCTTGAGGTGCACCACCATGTGCACGGCGTAGGCCAGTACTAGCAACAAGATCATGGAAGTCACCAGACCCATAAGGATGGCCGGCGTGAAGAAGGTAGCGCAGTCGCTGGCTGAGGCGAAACGACCCGACTGCACGTTAAACGCCTGGATCTGCAAGTAGGTAGAGGGACGTTAAAGAGGAAGAAGAAAAATCAGCAGCAGATACGGGTTTTATGGGGTTTGTTTCAAAAAGATTGCTGATGATTTGATAGTCTGCGAAAGGATTAAGAGCCAGACATTGAGCTAGGTTTGTAGGAGTTAGACCAGGCTTAGTCATGGTTTAGCTAAGAGGATTTTTTAGGTTTTAGGTAGCTTTGAATGGCTTTCTGTGAAGTTTAACAGGATATATGATTTAAGAGCCTGAGGAAATAGCCAAAGAAATGTCAGTTACTCCTTGATATCACAGATCAGTGGTACCCCTCCTGAATGAATGAACTATGCATACTTAAGACCAAATTGTAAACAGAGAAACAACAAACACGGATTCTCCTGATATATGTCAGAATTCATAAACAGCTCCAGAAAATGATCAGATGAGACACAAACAACAGGAGAGCCAGTAAGAAATGGCGATGCGTGTGCAGCGTATGGGAAGGCTGCGGCGATCGCCGGCCTCCTACCTGGAAATCTGTGAAAGTGATGTGCCAGTTGGCTGCGCTGTCGCTGTGCGAGCTGGGGACCAGCAGGGTGTCGTACTTCTGCAGACTGCTGACGTGCTGGCAGTGGTAGGAGTAGGTGGCCGGGGCGTACACCTCGGTGGCGTTGAAGATGGCTTCGTGGGTCCAATTATAGTGGATGTGAACGCTGTCCAGTGTAAACCAGTTCTGACCAGCTGACTCATAGAACGTGTTGGACATCTGGAGTCTGTCCAGTGGGGGGGGGGGAGAGACACAGAGAGATGCTTTTTTTAAAGAAGTTGTCAAAGAGAATGGAAAAAGGAAGAGATGGACTGTTAGCTGCCCTGTCTGGACCTGCCTAGCAAGTTTCTGGTCAAAGTTTGGTACTAAAGTTGACTTTATTTACCTAGGAGCAGCCTTTTTACATTTGGTGCTGCTCAAAATAAAAACCGTGGTACTTCTGACAGTTATGGCTTCACACAGAGTGTGCGTGCAACCATGTGGGCATACGGTGCAACGCAAGAGAAACACAGAAAACAAACAAGAAAACAAGTAAGATGTGTAGCCAGGTAGAAATCTGTAATGCCTGAGTAGGAGGACAGTTCATGGGTTTCCTGAGGCAATTTTAATAAAATTGTAATTAAAACTATACTATTGCCATCCTCTGAAAAGGCTTTTCAATTTAAAACAATCAATGATGCAAATATGGCCACAATGTAGCTCTTAATACAAAAACACTCCAAAGGAAATCCAACCAAAATGGCGTGTGACAGGCCCATACCTGATGACTAGTCCTCTGAGATCCTCTACATCGCCAAACCGCAGTGACAGCCTGTTAGAAAATATATAGATGAGAAATTTTAACAATGTAGCAATATCAGCCTCTATGGGTCAATGTACCACTTCATGCTCTGTACACAAGCACTAGAAATATATAAGGACACATGACCTTGAGATGGAAGACCTTACTGACACCTCACTGTAATTAGGTAGGTGATAGGAGATTAAGTTAGGAAAAGTATTTCAGATTACTGATCTTCTACTAGGGTCTGGCAGGAGCCTGCAGGTTCTCGCACTATGATGTGATGCTAACAGTGTGATAAAATAAGAAGACTGACAGCATGTGTGCCAGCCTTGCTCAGTGTTTTCTGGGATGTATGCAGGGCTGGCCTAAGGCATAAGGGAACTAAACGGCTGCTTGGGGCCCAGCAGCCACCAGGGGGCGCCCTCCATCTGATCAGCCTGTCAGAATTGGGAGGAAGATGACAAATGACAACTAAGATAGTCACGTTTCGTTTAAGGCCCTGACAAAGGATGGGTCAGCCCTGCGTGTGGAAATGGCCATCGAGGTAATCAGAGAAGTGTTGTCATCAGATTGGCAGCATCCAAATTGGGAAGGAGAGGGAAATTTTTAAAAAATACAGGAGGATGGTGGGTAGACATACGTGGCTTTGTCCTTGCTGCATACGGAGCCCCTGGTGTCCACCAGGGCCCCGGGGCCGAATGCTCTCTCCGTGAGGTCCACGATGGTGTGGTTCTTGTACCTGATTGCCAGTTTCTTAGCTCTGAACAGAATGCATATCTTGCCGTTGTGAGCCACATTAAGAAGGGAGTAGGGGGTGGAGTTAGCGGACTGGAGCAGCCTTCTTTTGTATCGATGTGGGGCAGCGTGATGCCATCCATAAGGCTGGAGCCCAGAGAGAGAGAGATAACACCATTAGCACAGCCACTAATGCGCTGCCACTTTCCATTCCCCTTATCGGGGCAGGATAGGTATCCATTCACAAAGACAACACATCATGAGGAACGACCCTGAATTCGCAAATTATTCCTCCTCACTGATAAGCTTCTAGCAACAAGAGATTATTAAAGGATTATATATTTTGACCGATGGGGAATTAAAGTAAGGGGAGATTTTGGTGTGCCTAAGGGCAATCTTAGAATAAATCATTCTGGGGGGGGGGGGGACAGAGCTGTCACGCTCTTTCATAACCTGATCACGCAGCATAATATTTGCTTCATTGCAGCTGGTGCATTGATACATAAACACGATAATTAATAGCAAAAATATTCCTAAAGCATTTATACAAAGAGCATACATCCATCCATCTTCCGACCATTTTTCCTGGTCAAGGTCATGGGGAGGCCTAGAGCCTGTCCCAGGCAACACTGGGTGCACCTTGGACAGGATGCTGGTCCATGTCAGGTCACATATAGGAAAACCGCCTTCAAATATGATGTTGCAATGCAGAGATGCCTAACCTCGTGTCTTTGGGCTGTGGGAGGAAACTCGTGTTCCCACACAGGCAGAGCAGAGGCGGGATTCATATAATATCGAGCCCACAAGCAAGATAGACAGAATGGATGTACGAGGATGATTTTAGATGTGCAAGTGATTTTGGAAATCATCCTTCTGTAAAGTACCACACAGCAAGGTTTTAGTATGAGAACCATGCATTGATTTACATGTCAGATTTTGATAAAAACATCATATATCTCATATGTGTGTGCATTAAGTAATTCACAAACCCCATACCCGCAGGACCCCTCTTATTGGTGTTTCTGGCGTGGGTAAGTAACTCTCCTCGGGAGAGCTGCTGTGACTGTGAAGGCTCACTGCATCTGTTGAGACACAATGGATCATCATACTAACTATTATGGAAAAATATACGAAGATTCAATAAAACTTTATTGTCTGTTATAAAGTGACAGAAACTCATCTTAGATTCAGCTCATACATAACACAAGATCAGCAACACAACAAATAGCAATAACAACCAATGTAATTTGTGAATACACATTTGGTTTAGTGGTTTACTAGGACGTAGCTATCATAATATCTTTATCAAGTATGATGTTGCTTACAAGTAAGAAGTGTAATTACCTGCCCCAATCCTGACTCCCTGATACGGAGTGACTTCAGAGCTGCAAAATTGAAAAAGAAATAATAAGCTAGTAATGATTACAAAATGAGTCAGAGGCTGAAAAAGCCACAAGCTAGATTTTGCATAAATTAAAAATACAACGAGCAATAAAATAGCGCAGCACCAGTAACAAAAAACCAGACCAGAAAAATTCAGGATGTATTACAATTGGTCATGATATTATATCTGCGATACCAGTCTGGCTAAAATAACAAGGTCACTAAGAGTTTTCCAACATACTATTAAGAAATGATAACATCTTTTTCACACAGAATAAAAATGATACATTGTGACTCAGATCTGCTCACATTAAATGCATTACTATGAGTTTATTGACAGGACAGGCCCACACATAGATGAAAGGACATTATCATTAATGTGGCTATTAAACTACTTCACACAGCAGTTTGTGTTAAATGTTTTATGACAACAAACAGGTCATCGAACAGAGGCGCCATTAAAATAGCTAACCAGCAGTGGCGTGAAAATACGAAAGAGCTAAAGCCCAGAAATTCAGAGTCAGGAAAAGCTTGCTGCACGGTTCCAGGCATCTCCCCGGGGCACGGAAACAAGGCCGAAGGTACCTGACAATTTGCACTGCTGCTCTGAGAAGACAGAGGTTAGATGCTACCCGTGGGCTATCTATGTCCTGGCAAGGCCTCATCAAACAGGACTGACAGCAAGAGAAACCAAAGGCCTCCACGTCCCTTTTCTAAGTTTTACTCAGAGATGATACATCGTATTCAAGTGGCAACACTGACCACATCCAAAGAAGAATGATTGGTAACCGATAACAGCTCTTTCAGATCCATCTGTTTATGATGTATATCTGATTTCTTTAGGGAATCCACAGCTACTGTTTTGAGTAGCGCTGTCACGTCTGTGATGAATAGCTCCATTTACCCTGCGCTACTGCCACATGCCCAGTCCTGCTAATTTCTGAACACGTATGATGTCGTCACGCAGGAAGGCAACCTGACGACACCCTTGGGAGGCCTATTGCCTACTACAACAGGAATGAGTGTGACTTCACTATCAATGAATCCCCAGCATAGTAGGTAGAACTCCATGAACGATAGCCGGCATATCTGTCATACGGCTAGCTCACTAAGGTCACCAACCAGAGGTCAGCCTCCACACTGTGGCCCTGTTATTGGTTAGTGCTGGATGTGGAAGCTCCACTGGTTTTGGCAGCAGCTTTATAACTACAGCCATCTGCAGACCACCACTGTGACTCACCTCCTATTAGGTGCTACACAGAATCTGGAAATCTACCTGCAGATTTTGGAGTGCCTTGTTACTGTCTGTATATCACCATTGCAAAACTGCTAACACAAAATGACAGTATATAACACTTATATTATATAAAGCACAAACTGTATATTGCTCTTCTCATCATCTAAATTTAATGAAAACAATGTGCATCACTAAAATGCTTTTATATGTGAAGATAACTATTTTTAAATACGAAGATAAGTAGAATTTAGCTGCTCTGATTCTTTGGGTCTGCATAGTATTAAAATTATTAGTAGTACAAAATCTGCATTGCATATAAAAAATATGTTGTCACTATGCCATTCGACAAACTGTTTTAGCTCCCTGTTTTTCTGTTTCCCTTTTCATTTTATTCAAGATAACAACAGCAACAACAGCATACAACCACAAGAATAAGAAGAAGAAGAACAACAATAATAATAATAATGATAATAATAGCGACAACATTTATAAATAGTTCAGAGTTGGTTCTAACCATATTTTGTAAAGTTAATAAATGTCAATGCAGGTAATACCCCAAGCTATGAATGCTATGAAAAAAATGCATGTTCTCAGACAGTGGGACAGCTATCCTACATATATAAACAGTATAAAATGATATCAGGCACAATGTGATCAAACTGTCTCAACCTACAGCTCCACACATTACTGTTCCACACAGTCCTCCTTCAAAAGCAAATACCCTACACTGAATCTGCCAAACTGTCTTGTGCTGATGAAATCTGGGCCCCATATAGCTGAACATCTTGCCAATACTGACAGGGAACTAACAGACGGACTGTTGGTGTGTGGTTTGTTCCAAAAATGGCAATGTAAGAAGTTGGGGTATAAGTGTGATTGTTGGCAAGTTGTTGTGACTTATGGTGTTGTAGACAATAGTCCATTATTAGTAGATGGTGGTACAATGGTTTTAAAAATCACGCTGTCCTAATCCAATTTAGTTCTCTGGGTAAGTCTCTTGCAAAGAAAGCCATGTGCTTTGATGTCCATAACCAAAAACACTAGTTAATGACTGTCTATCATGTCATTGTTGAAAAGCATACATGTATCAATAATATAACATACTTTTCAGGGAACCATTTTTGATGTAGCTGATTTTCTTAGGAGCAGCACATTTTTTTCTCTTCATTTTTAATGTATTTTTATTTTCTCAGGCTTTCAGGCAGTAATATCGAGCCCTGACCAATATGTCAAGCAGATGTCAGAAAGTTTCAGTATTCACCTATTTGACAACAAAAGCTATTCAAAGGCAGACATTTAAAAGCATTTTTGGTAGATTACTTTTTTCCTCTCAGGATATGTACAATATTTTGCAGCTTTATATCTCCAACTATTGGTTGCTGGTGGAATAGCAATCTGCCATCTTGTGCTGCCTTGTGAATTGTTTCTGAAGAAAATCAAATGTTGCTACTATATTTTTTAAGTGAGTTGCAAAAATGAATAGAAAAAAATACATTTTCAAATTGCTTTGATCTCTGCATTAAGAGAACGCACAAAGCAACTGTCAAGTTGTATGGTTGTGCTCAACTGAATACAGTGACTGACAAAGAGCAACAAAATAAATACAGTAAAGAAATTCACAATTAAAGTGAACAATAAATAGTGCATTATACCTCATGGTTTGATACTGAATTATATAAATGGAAAAGTGCTTCCTAGTGTCTGGATACGCATAGCTCACAGTGCCAGAGACAGCAACCGACATTGTGGGTGGAAAAGCCTATTTCAGGGGTGATATAAGAAGCTGACTTCTCAGGTTCACTAACCTGTAAAATCTTCAACGTGACAAAATTTAGCCATTCTTCTGGAGCCCTGTAACCTTCTGTATAAAAATGTCCGCGCCAGGAAAATACCTTGCCAAGAAAATTAAACTTTCCATCATTTGGTCATGAAATGGTAACTGTGTAACCACTACTGAACATTTTATTCATTGTATTCTATTAAAAATATTGATAACATGGTGGATCATTAACACTATTCATCTAGGATGTTTAAAAAAAAATGCCAAAATTCCAGAATCATATTCTTACAGTCAGAATATGCAGGGATATGCAAATCATCATACAATTATCACAGAATAAAAAAATAAATGCATATCCTGTAGGTAATCGACGGGCCCCAAAATCTAAGTGCCATTAAACAATAATATTGCATCCTCTTCAAGCAAGTGAAAAGTAACACTTCTGTGTTGCTAGGTTTTAGCTTGACTTTACCCTTTAGAATGAATAACATGCAGCTTTTATACTTCCATGCTGTGCTTCCAGGCTACCCAGCAGCACAACCACTGTGGGGACGACCAGGAAAACCTCTGATATTGTTCAGCACCTGCCTATTTTTCCCAGCCTTGCCTCCTCATACATTAATGTGCCCTGTAAACTGATTCCCACTCACCACAGTGGGTGGACCTTCTCCCCCCCCCCCCCCCCCCCCCCCCCCCCGAGAGTCTCTGATGAAGCCTCATTCCAATTCATCACAGTTACGCGAAAACTCAGAGGAGGCAAGAGCTCGCAGCCGTCGGCAACGTGAAAGGCGCGACCGCGACGCGAGATTCCTAACGCGGCCACATGTGAGCCTTTTCCAACTAAAAAATGCCTTTTCAGCAAGACTTTTTTTTTCTTTTTTTTTTTTGCATCCTGCTTGCCTCCCGACGTCTGAGCCACAGCGATGGAGTCACACAGCACATTGTCTGCACGGCATCCCCTGCCCCACAGTCCCACACTCAGAGTTGCGATCGCCAGGCTTACCTCATCCCCAAGACGCCGGGCACTTGATCATCAGGCAGTGACAGCTGCAGCAGGAAGATGGAGAACAGTGTGAAAAGCAGAAACGACTTGTGCTTGGCCATGGGAGCAGTCAGAGTAGCTCGCCGGGGAAGAAGTCTGCTTTGTAATGTGGTTTGATAAAACAGCCTAAACCTGAGCTTAATGACTGGCAGAAACTGCAGCCAATAGACACAAAGAAGGAAGATAATCGTGTGTCATGGTCACACCCACTCTCTCTCTCTCTCTCTCTATCTCTGTTCCCCCTCGCTCTCTCTCCTCTCCTTGCTCTCGCACACGCACAAACACACACGCACATACACACACATGGAACCATAGCTGCTGGCACAGCTTACAGACGCTCGCCCGGTTTTATCCCTTCTCCCAGGAGCCTACTTTTATCCAAAGCAACCCACTAAACACGCAGATAAACATCAGCAATATTCAAGGTCAGCACAATGAAGGCGTTAGCCATTCAAAGTCAGAGAACAGAAACCCCGATAACATGACCCAGTTCCATACTCTGTTGCCTCAATAATTGAAATCCATTCACAAGAGAAATGCCTGTTATCTTGAGAAAAGCCCCTTAGCTAATGTTTAATGGAGCTAAATACCTATGTAGAAAAAGACATAGCAAAGGAATTATTTGTTTTTGGCCTTTAACACTGACCTGAGCAGTTCTCTTGATTATATCAAAAATTTCATGTATATATTCACATATTTCAGGGGTGGATGTTTCAGACACCCACATATTTTAGGTATATAAGGTAGTACAGTATATAGACATAAAAACATATGTAGCTGTATAAATGTAGCGATGACTCATACAACATACAACTGCATGTCTGAACATTGTTCAGAACATCAGCCCTCACAATATATGAAATACATATTATTACACTTTGTCAGTTTAGTTATTAAAAAACTTGTAAATGCTATCTATATAAATGATGCCTCAGATGTGCTTTTCTCCAGATATTTATATTAGTGTGAAGCATTTTTTCCCCCCTGGACGGCTCCAAGATCACAAAAATATGTTATGAACAAGATAATCAAAAGCGTGTCTTTTGACATTCTATTCACAATGGTTTGAGGGACTATCTGTATATCGAACAGAGGCATATGGGTTAAGCATAAACACAAAGAGTGTGAACGAATCCCATAGCAGTAATAACACCAGCAGCAAGATTACACTGGTGGTGAAGCGGATTGAACAGTCATGCATGAAAAATTGCCGTTCAGTTCATCTGGTGGCAAATCTGAACGGATGCAGTTCTTGTGCAGCCCGTGTTTGATCTGTGGCTGCCTTGTTAAAAGAAACATATGTATGAGGTCAGCAAGATATTTCCTTGTGTGGTTTTGCATACTGGCTTTTTTCTTGAGGAAAAGTCTAGAACAGGCTAATGCAATTTAAGAAGGACAATGGTGCTGCTTATTTATTCATATACAGACAAATATTTGTGGCTCCAAGGACGGCAGACACATTGCTAACTGATTATACATGAGATGGCATGAATAGGTAATATATGTATTGGCAAATTTGATAGGTTATAAAAAAGAGAGTTGCCCAGTATTAAATAGCCTTCCTCCACATTTCAGAAGACTCACAAACAAATAATTTCAAAATTTAATAATTCACCATTTGCCTTGATTCAGACTGAAAATACATGCAAAATTAATTCAGATTCAGTGATAGCGGTGCCTTTGCATACATTCTAGGCTTTAAAAATGACTTGTTTCTCCCCTATATCATACTTTCTGCATTGGCAATTACCTCCTCCTAATTAAACCATGATATCTTTTAAGCAGAACATATATATAAAGGGCCATTGATTTGGCACTATAAAAGATGGATGAATGCCTAACTCTTTGGTTTAACAAAGGCTACTTTTTTATTTAACACAAATCATCCTTAAAGTCAATGCCACTTGCTGCAGAGATTTTAACTAAAATGAAATAAATGAAGTGCTTGGGTGCTGAGATGGGAGGAAAATATGAATACAGAGTATAAGTCAACAGACAGAATGATTTAGTTTCAGAAAAAAAAAATCAAAACAAAAAAACTTAAATACAGTAAAGGTATTTTAGCTTGATATTTTAACTGCTAAGGGAATTTACGATGGTTGTAAACAAAGATCTCTCGGATATCTAGTTAATGCTGGCGATATTGAAATAAAACAACTTTGAGAGTTGTGGATTTATTAGGAATTTGTCATGCAAATTTTACATGACACACAATGATGGAAATCTGTATGCACATGAAGGCAAACGGTTTGACAAAATAACAGCCTTTGGCATTCAAACTGTGTGGAGGCGGCAGTTTGATGTTTTGAAACCAGCTCCATGTTTATACAAGAACTTTTTCTATGAATGTTGCCTTGCTTTTTGTATGTAAGTTACATTCACTTTAAGCATCCTGTAATGTCATCATTCTCATTCATTCATTTTCTATATATTATCTATACCTGCTAGTCCTATGCAGGGTTGTAGGGATCCAAAGCCTATTCCAGTAACAACAAGCACAAGGCTGGGAATAACCCAGTATCAGGCACCAACCCATCACAACCCTTCACACCTATGGACAATTTGCCAACTCCAGCTCACCTGAGCATGTTTTTGGACTGTGGGGGGTAACTGGAGTATACCAAAACCCCACAATGACACAGAACCGGGGCAGAGACTCGAATCCTGGTCTCCAGAGGTGTGAGGTGACCACGCTAACCACCAGCCCATGTCTTAAACTTATAAAAGAATTATGAGTTCTGTAAGGTCCTTCTGAGGTCATTGAGCTTAGAGTCGTCAAGGTGCTTCGAAACAATTGTTCACACAAGCAAGTAAATTTCTTAACACTTTTGATAACACTAGCAAAGGTTTGATTTTCTTATTTTTTTTATATGTGAAGATTAAAATGGTAGCCCAAACATTTCGATGACTTATTTTTAAGTTTTTATAAGGCATTAGTTATAGAGATGCCAAGGTGGTGACTAATATCCATAAAAGACATTGGGTTTTTTTTTTTGATCTGTGGCAGAATACAGTTACTTACCCTGGGACAGCCTTGCTTGCTCTTGTCTTTGTTCCTTCTCATCTTTCCCCTAATTAGTCTCTAGTCATGTGTTGATATATTTTCACAAGAAGAAACCAAGAAACCAAGAGATTTTTTTTCCACTCACCACTACTCCTCAGTTGCATTTTCTTACCTTTTAAATTTCATTGCTTTAGTTTTTGATCTGCTCTAAAACATCCAGCAAACATACTGAGAAGAATCAGTTTATCGAGGCAAATGCTTAGATCAAATGTTTGGGTGGTGAGACGACAGGGAAAGACAAACACAATATAAGTCAACAGACAGTATGATTTCCTTTCAGAAAAAAACCTAAACAGAGCAAAGGTTGCATCATCCAAGCACTTGTCCATGTTTGGTCAGGGCATAAATATTGGGTGTTTCTGGCCACATGGGACATGGTCTTGCGGAATCTTATCTGAAAATTTCAATAATCATTTTCATATTTATTTCCAATTTTCCATTTTGATTTATTCTCACATTAAAAAAGTACATTGAGTAAGCTCTGGTTGTATGCTAGGTTTCACATAAAACTTAATTTTAGCTTATTTTATTAAAGGAGGTACGAATGAATGGATGAATGAATGGATGGATGAATGAATGTTACATTGATATAGAGCTTTTCAAGACACCCAAAGTGCTTTACAGAACCAATGGGGTGCCACTTCAACCACCACCACTGTGCAGCCCCCACCTGGATGATGCAACAGCAGCCATTCTGCACCAGTACACTCACCACACAGTAGCTTAGGTGGTGAAGGGGCAGGAGAGAATTCACCAAATAGATTCAGGGGATGATTTGGAGGCCAGATTTGAAAAGGCCACAATGGGCCATTTTTAGCTAAGACATAGGGGTACCACACTTCCCAGCAAACAATATGACGTTGAAATGACGTCTTTTAGACGTCTTGGCCTACCGTAGAAAAGAGGTCTTTAGAGGGTGCCGAATGAAAGTTTTTATGACGTCTTTTTTAGACGTCCTCTGGATGTTCAGTTATGACAACTATAAGACGTCTGTATAAGGTGAAAAAACAGTCCGGAAATGGTC